TCCGGCTTTTTCTGCTTATGTGGTGCTGAGGAATTGAACCCAGGGCCTCATGCATGCAAGGCAAGCACTCTACCACTGAGCCACTTTCCCAGCCCATATATTATATTTTCTTGATCCATTTGTCTACTGAGTGCATCTGTTTTGGTTCCATATCTTAGCTGTGGTGAATAATACTGCAATAAACATAGTTGTGCTGGTAGCTTTGGTATGGCCTTGTTTGTGGAAATTTGGATACATACCCAGAAGTGGGATTGCTGGGTCATAGGGGAGCTCTATGTTTAGTCTTTTGAGGAACCTCCATACTGCTTTCCAGAGTGATTGAACAAGTTTACACTCCCACCAGCAATGCAGTAGGATTCCCTTTTGGCCACATCCCCCCAACATCTGTTGTTACTAGATTTCTTGATTATAGCCATCCTAACTGGGGTGAGGTGGAATCTCAATGTTGTTTTGATTTGCATTTCTTTCATGGCCAGAGATGTGGAGCATTTCTGCATGTGTCTATTGGCCATTCTTACTTCCACTTCAGTGAAGTCTCTCTTTAAGTCTTAGCCCACTTACTAATTGGCCTCCACATTCTTTATGGGGGCTCCTGAAGAGCTGGCTTCTAGCCCCAGTTTGCTGAGTTCCTGCTTTGGTTTCCTGGCTGCCATGAGGTAAAGAGCCTTCTTATCATTGTCCCACATCATCATGTTCTGTGCAAGCACATGGGACTAAGTGGGCAGGGGTGAAACCCCTGAAACCATGAGCCCAAATAAATCTTTTTTTTTTCCTGTGAAAAGTTTCTGTCAGGTACGTTATCATAGCAGCAGAACACTGGCTGACAGAGCAACCTTAGAAAATTAAAAAATAATAGTGATGAGTTTGACATTCCTGATCTATACATCTGCCAGCACAGCACTTAAGTTTACAAGGCTACTTAGATTTTTTTCTTAGTCATTTATTTATAGTAGAAGAGATAAAAGAATTGGGGGCTGGGAATGTGGCTTAGTGGTAGAATGCTTGCCTGGCACGCATGAAGCTCTCTCTGGGTTCCATTCCTCAGTACCACATTAAGAGAAAAAGCCAGAAGCAGACTATGGTTCAAGTGGTAGAGTACTATACTTGAGCAGAAGAAGCTCAGGACAGTGCCCAGGCCTTGAATTCAAGTCCCAGAACTGGCAAAAGGAAGAAAGAGAGAATTGGAAACATATTTTATGGCTGTAAAAGTCCTAGACTCTTTAGTGAAACAAACAAAAACAAAAAAAAAAAGGGGAAGCTGTAGAACTTTTTTTTTTCTTTTTCCTTTCAAAAATAAGTTTTGTCATGGCAAGAGATTTCTTAAAGGCTCCTATTCTCCCCTGGTCCCATAGCTGGTTTGAACCTTTTCATATTATGGAGTAGAGATGCCTTTGAGTTAAATTCAGACATCTTTTTTATGTCACCTGACAGTCTTGTGGTTTCAGATGAGTATGGTTCACTGCTATTATTAACCTGGCTTGGCAGTTGTGCATACCTGGAGTTTTTAGGGATTTTGAGAAGTGGAGCCGCTTTAATAGAAATAGGGTATCAGTAATGTAGTTTAATCCAACATGTTTTTTTTCAAATCTGTGAACCTAAATCACCCCAAAACTAGTTGTAAGTTTGGTGATATATTTGCTTTCATATATGTGATGAATGTTAAGTGCTAAAATGTTGTAAGTACTTGTTTTATGAGAAGTGAATTTATAGTCAATGGACTTCTTGAGTTTTATTAGATATTTAAAAATATATCATTTACATATACTTATGTTATTTTTTGGGCATATGTGTATCTGACAATTGTGTCATTCACTGTGCTTTTTTCTCTCTGTACATAAGAACATTTACTGCAAATATTTGGAAAGCAATATGTTTATAAAACTAAATTCAAAACTTGACATTGTAGTAGTATATTGTACATAGTCTATGTATTTATTTATTCATTTATTTATTTTTGTTGGTCATGGAGCTTGAACTCTGGGCTTGGGCACTGTCCCTCAGCTCTTTAGCTCAAGGCAAGTGCTCTACTGCTTGAGCCACAGTGCCACTTCTGGTTTTCTAGTGGTTTATTGGAAATAAGAGTCTCACGTGGACTTTCCTGCCTAGGCTGGCTTTGAACTGTGATCCTCAGATCTCAGCTTCCTGAGTAGCAAGAATTATAAGGGTGAGCCACCAGCACCTGGCAGAGTCAAATATTTTTAAGTAATTTGACATCCTCAACAAAATACAGGGGAAAAAGTTTCTAAAGTGCAAATATAATTGAAAGAAGATGTATATCATAGAAGATATGAAGTAAGATCAAAGGGAGATGGATGCTGGTGGCTTGCGCCTATAATCCTAGCTATTCATAAGGTTGAGATCTGAGAATTGTGGTTCAAAGCCAGCCTGGTCTGGCAGTAAGACTCCTATCTTCAATTAACCACCAGAAAATTGGAAGTGGTGCTGTGACTCAAAGTGGTAGAGTGCTAGCCTTGAGCAAAAAAGCTCAGGGACAGTACTCAGGCCCTAAGTTCAAGTCCCACCAACAAAAAAAGGGTGGGGGGAGGGTGGTGAGATGGGAAAAAAAAAAAAAAAAACATGTGCTGGGAAGGTGGCTCAGAGGTAGAGCGCTTGCCTTGCATGCATGAGGCCCTGGGTTTGATTCCTCAGCACCACATATGCAGAAAAACCCGAAGTGGCGCTGTGACTCAAATAGTAGAGTGCTAGCCTTGATCTGAAGAGCCTGAGGGACAGCGAGCGCCCAGGCCCAGAGTACAAGCCCCATGACCGACAAAAATAAAAAAAATAAATAAAAATAACATTATGTGGCAGTATTAAATATTACAGGGCTGTCAACAAAGAGTAGACTTGAAGGTTTTGAGAGTTTAGTAAGTGGTAATCCCACACTGATAACAAAAAAAGTTCACTTAAGGTTTTTGTTACACTTAATGTCACATTCTCCTAATACATTTCAGGAACAACTCATTAGACAACCTTTTTTTGGGTCAGTTGTGGTGCTTGAACTCATTGAATACACCAATATTTAACATCCTGGCCTCCCAGTTTCTTCTTTTGTCCCTCCCCTTGGTCTCTTCTTGGTTATACTTTGAGCAAATGGAAAGATACTCATTCTGACCATAATTTCATATCCTTACTGAAACTTTTTTTTTCCTTCAAGACTACTGTTTTTGTTGTTTTGTTTCATCCTTTTCTTCAATTAAGTTTATTAAGACCATATTTCCTCAGCTAATGAAGTCCAGACTTTATGTTCTTTTATTGTAACTGCTGAGCAAAATCTATTAAATCCAGTGTTTTCCATTATTGGTTTCTACGAAACTACTTTTCTGATTATTTTGGGCCTTGAACTTGGCCTGGGTACTGTCTCTGAGCCTCTTATTTGCTCATGGCTAGTGCTTTACCACGTGAGCCACAGTGCCACTTTGGTTTTTGAGTGATTAGTTGGAGATAAGAGTCTCATGTGATCCTCAAATCTCTGAGTAGCTAGGATTATTCCATGAGCCACCAAGCTGAGACCCACCTTGGTCTGGCCTTTAATAGCTTCTTTTACATAACCATAAAGCACAGTTTTTTTTGTACAGGCTGTTTAGTGTGATGCAAATCAGTGTGGTCTAAGGATATTTCTGATTGACTGTTTAAGGTAAAACATACCAACATTTAATTAGGATTACACAGGAGGAAATGAAAATGTTATTTTCTGTCAAGAATGAAGGTGTTTTCTGTTGCCAGTTACAGGTAGTTTCACATGAATTATTAATACAGATTTAAATTTCTCTAAAGGAAATGAAGGAACTTAATCAAGATCTCTTATTGATAGATTACAAGGAGTTGTAAGGAGGGACAAATCTCCACATTCAAGTTTTTTCTTTTATCGTGTGTGCGTGTGTGTGCGCGTGCGCTGGAATTGGGCTTAAACAATTGGGACTTGGGTGCTGTCCTTTAGCTATTTTTGTCAAGACTGGTTAGTCATACTTCCACTTCTGGCTCTTTGGTGGTTAATTGGAGATGAGCCTCATGGACTTTCTTGCCTGGGCTGGCTTTGAACTGAGATCCTCAGATCTCAGCCTCCTGAATAGCTAGGGTTACTAGCATGAATCACCAATGTCTGTTTTAGTGTTATCATTTCTTAGCAAATGACAGTAGTATGTTGGTTCACCAAGCTAATTTCTCCATCATTTCATTCACCGTTTTTTTTTTTTTTTTCTGATTTCATTTGTCCTGTTTGATCTTTTACACCATATAGCTATAATATAGATGTAGGAGAAAAATGAGGGAGGGGTAAAGAGTTTGACACTCACTACCTTATGTATATAACCATAACCCCTCTGTACATCACTTTGACAATCAAAAAGAAAAAAATATATAGATGATAGTCATTGCCCCAGTATAGCTGATATGACTCTTTCCTTGTGCCTAACTCTTAGACATACCTACTCTCCAAACTTTTTTGTTGTTGTTGTTGATCATGGGCTTGAACTCAGGGCCCAGACCCTGTCCTTGAGCTCTTTTTACTCAAGGCTAGTGTTCTACCACTTTGAGCTACAGTGCCACCCATATAGTACATCTAGAAGTGAAATTATAACTAAAGAACACATTGTAGACCTTTATATAAAATAGCATTACTTAGTTTAAGTCTGAAAAGTTATACAGTTAGGACCCTTTTTTTTCTTGTGGGTTGTAGGGCTTGAACTCAGGGCCTGGGCACTGTGTATGAGCTCTTTTGCTCAAGTCTAGTGTTCTACCATTTTTGAACCACAACACCACTTCTGGATTTCTGGTGGTTCATTGGAGATAAGAGTCTCACAGACTTTTCCTGCCAGGCTGGCTTTGAGCTGTGATCCTCACATCTCAGCCTCATGAGTAGCCAGGATTACAGGTGTGAGCCACAAAACTATTAAGGCTGTTAGTTGCTTTTTAAAATTATGATTACAGTTTTGAAAACAGAACTTTGCTTGTCTTTAACTTTTTGTATAAATTGAAAAATACAGTCAGTATTTGTGTTACCTGTTTTGTTCACAATATAGCCTTATTTTTTGCCTATATTGTGTTTGTGGTATGGTTTTCAATAACATAAAAAAAATCATAATGTATTTATCCACTCTGCTATTGGTGGATATTTTTTCTTCAATTTGTAGCTATTGAGAACAGGTCTGCTATAAATATTCTTCTATTGTGGTAAACTTTTCTGAAGTAGAATTGCTGGAATCAACTTTAATTTTAGTAGAGTGAGTGAGTGTGTGTGTGTTTGTGTATGTGTGTGTGTTTATTTTTGCCAGTTCTGGGGCTTGAACTCAGGGCCTGGACACTGTCTCTGGCTTCTTTTTTGCTCAAGGCTAGCACTCTACCACTTAAGACAGCACAACTTCTGGCTTTTTCTGTTTATGTTGTACTGAGGAATCAAACTCAGGTCTTCCTGCATGCTAGGCAAGAACTCTATCACTAAGCCACATTTCCTGCCCCTGTTGTACAAGTTTTTATTGACAGCAACATTGTTTGAGAATTTCCACTACGCTTGTTTTATCACTTTGTTTATTTATGTCTTTCAACTCCTTTGCTGTTGTTTAAACTGAAAATAGTTTCTGTTTTCACATTTATCTAAAAGGTCAGTAGCAGAGTGTTAGTGGCTCATACCTATAATCCTAGTTACTTAGGAGGCTGAGATCTGAGGATCATGGTTCAAAGCCAGTCTAGGCAGGAAAGTCTGTAAGACTCTTATCTCCAGTGGTGTTGTGGTTCAAAAGTGGTAGAACAGGGGCTAGGAAGGTGGCTCAGTGGTAGAGTACTTGCCTTGCATGCATGAGCCCTGGGTTCGATTCCTTAACACCACACAAACAGAAAAAGCCAGAAGTGTACTGTGTCTCAAGTGGTAGAGCGCTACCCTTGAGCAAAAGAGCTCATATACAGTGCCCAGGCCCTGAGTTCAAGCCTTACAACATTAAATTCAGTAGTGCTATTTTATATAAAGATCTATAGTATGTTCTTTAGTAATAATTTGACTTCTAGATCTATTATATGGATTTATTTACAAAGATATAAATTGACATTTTCTAAAGTATCTCTGATGTACCTTTTTTCCTTTCTAGTTGGCCTTTACCAGAGTTTGATCCAAGCCAGATTCGACTGATAGTATATCAAGACTGTGAAAGACGAGGGAGAAATGTCTTGTTTGACTCCAGTGTTAAGAGAAAAAGTGAGGACACATCAGTTTCAGTGAGTATCATTATTGATTTGATTGAAATTTAATGTTGGATATTTTAATAATGAAAGAAAGGGTAGGTAAAAGTTCAGTTATGGTATTTTTGTTTGTGATAAGCATTTGTCTCTAGCATGTTTAGAATTCAAAGTCCTAATTGTGAGGGTTTACTTTTTAAGAAAATACTTTCATTATTCCTTACCATTATTCTTATTTCATTATTTCTTAGCTAGAAATTGTAGTTCAATTTTTTAAAAATATGATTGTGTTGTTTGGTATAGCAGAGTTATTGGGGGTCTTTATGGAAGATGTGGTTTAAACCTCTTGTTTTGCAATTGTGGAGAATGGGACCTAGAAAAGTGAAAATATCTGTTTAAAGGTACAAAACAATTTAAGGCTCTAGGCTTTAGAACTCTGTATTTTCTCCTATGCTAAAGTGTAAAGACAAGAACAACTATTCTGTAAACTTTGACACTATATTTTGAAATATGTTGTAAACGGCTTGGAACTAAGTTAACCTAGAACTAAAATCCTCCTAATCTCTGCCTCCTGAGTGCCTTCAGTTACAGGTGTCTTTCACCACTCTGGTATTTAAGTCATTATTAATAAATACTGCTTTAGCCACAGTGATGTAGAATAATTGCTGTGATTTAAAAATGTCAGGTGGAAAAATGTACTAGACTCAACAAATGTTGTAGATTAGCTCTGAATAAAGAAAAATGGTCCGAAATATAGCACAAATGTAAGTAGATATCATTTAAAAATATATTATTTTGCCATTCTAGGGTTTCCCAAAGGGTTTTATACTGTAGTTTATTTTGCATATAGTAAGAACTCTGTTAGAATATGAATGGGAATATCATCTGTGTTTCAGAAATTGTGTAGTGATGCTCAAGTTAAAGTCTTTGGGAAATGCTGTCAACTGAAACCTGGCGGAGACAGTTCTTCCTCTTTGGATAGTTCCATTACTTTATCCACTGATGTAAAAGAGCAGTGTCCAAAGTACCAGGTAAAATCACCAATTTCATTTGTTTATTCATTCACTTATAAATAGTTTATTTTTATTTGTAAAGAATTTTATTTATTTATTTATTTTGGGTTCAGTAGTGGGGCCTGAACTCTGGGCCTGGGCGCTGTCCCTCAGCTCTTCAGCTCAAGGCTAGCACTCTACCACTTGAGCCACAGCGCCACTTCTGGCTTTTTTCTTTTTGCTTATATGGTGCTGAGGAATCGAACCCAGGGCCTCATGCTTGCAAGGCAAGCGCTCTACCACTGAGCCACCTTCCAGCCCCTAGACATTTATTTTTATACTTATCAGTGGAATGGCTAAAATCTGGGCGTTTAGTTGGAGTACTCTACAGACACTTCTGTCTTCCTTTGTTTTCTTTTTCTTCACTTTAAACAAATTCCCAGTAGTACTCTGCCATGTAGCACCAGCAGAGGTTATGCCACTTTGATAATCTGTGAAGTGTTCTATTTTTCCAATTGTGGAAAATTAACTTTCTTTTATATATTATGTGATTAAAAATAAACAGTAGTAAACTGACCAAGTTTATTGAGTCTGATGATAATGAGTGATAATGACCTCATTTCATATCAGAATCCTCTTAAGAGATTTGTTTTAAAAGCAGAAACTATCCAACCATATAAACTGTTTTAATATTGTTCACTGTACTTGATATGTTTGATAAAATGTAATCTCAGGTAACTAGAACATTGTCTTTAAATTACATGGGTTATAACAGATTATTAACTTCAGCAACAAGTACTTGGATAATCTAGGCCTTTTAAATAAAGCATTAAAGGAAATGGTAATAGTAGTTTCTTATATGATTTTTATTATAAATTTTGTCATATTAGAATTGATGACATGCTGGTGATGATTATGTTAACAATTCGGTATATGCTAGAACAAGTACTTCGCCTCGGCTGGCTTCAAACTTCAATCTAGCCAGACACCAGTAATCCTAGCTACCCAGGAGGCTGAGGTCTGAGGATCCAGGTTCAAAACCAGCCTTAACAGACAGATCTGAGATTCTTACCTCAAATCAACCAGCAAAAACCTGGAAGTGGAGTTGTAGCTCAAGTTGTGCAGTGCCAGCCTTGAGTAAAAATGATAGAGCATGAGGTCCTCACTTCAAGCCTCAGTACTGGTAAACAAAACCTCAATCCTCAGATCTCAGCCTTCTGAAGAGTTAGTAGCTAGGAATATAGGTGTGAGCAACAAGCACCTGGCTGTGTTGTTCTGTTTTGCTTTGTTTGTTTTACTATAGTGTTGTAGGAGTCCTTTATATATTCTGGAGACTGACCTTTTACTAGATAAGTAGTTTGTGAAAGATTTCTCCTTATCTTGCAGATTTCTTTCTTGCCTTTCTGATTGTTCCCTTTACTATGTAGAAACTTTTTAGCTAGATGTCCCAATTTTATTTTTATTTATTTATTTATTTATTTTTTGTCTGTCTCTGGGCTTGAACTCTGGGCCTGAATGCTGTCCCTCAGCTCTTCAGCTCAAGGCGAGTGCTCTACCACTTGAGCTACAATGCCACTTCCAGTTTTCTGGTGGTTTATTGGAGATAGGAGTCTCACGGTCTTTCCTGCCCGGGCTGGCTTTGAACCTCGATCCTCAGATCTCAGCCTCCTGAGTAGCTAGGATTACAGGCATGAGCCACCATCGCCCGGCTGTAATATATTTTGAAATCTGGAATTTTGATACCTCAATCTTTTTCTTGTTCTCATTCTAGAGTCTTTGGTTATTTGTGGTCTTTTATAATTCCATGTGAATTTTATAGTATTTTTCTATTTTTTATAAAATATATTCTTAGAATTTTAATAGATACATTGAATCAGTAGAGCACTGGTCTTTTTATTTTTTACTAATTATTTTTTTGGTTTGTGATGGGGTTTGAACTCAGGGCCTAGGTGCTGTCCTTGAGCCTCTTTGTGCTTAAGGCTAGCACTCTACCACCTTGAGCCACAATGCCACTTCTGGTTTTTTGGAGTAGTTAACTGGAGGTAAGAGTCTTTCTGGGACTTTTTTTCCTAGGCTGGATTCTAACCCCAGTCTTAAGATCTCAGCCTCCTTAGTGGCTCGGAATACAGGCGTGAGCCACTGGTACCCAGCTTAAGTCTTCTTTTTCTTTGTATTTATTTATTTTTTATTTTTTGCTGGTCACAGGGCCTGAACTTGGGGCCTGGGCGCTGTCCCTCAGCTCTTCAGCTTAAGGCTAGCGCTCTACCATTTGAGCCACAGCATCACTTCCAGCTTTTTCTGCTTATGTGGTGCTGAGGAATCAAACCCAGGGCATCATGCATGCAAGGCAAGCGCTCTACCACTGAGCTACCTTCCCAGCCCCTTGTATTTATTTATTTAGGCCAGTCCTGGGGCTTGAACTCAGGACTTAGGCACTGTCCCTGAGCTTTTTTTGCTCAAGGCTAGAACTCTAACCACTTCCAGCTTTTTCTATTTATGTGTTACTGAGGAATTGAACCCAGGGTTTCATGCATGCTTAGCAAGCACTCTTCTACTAAGCCACATTTCCACCCCAAGTCTTCTTTTTAAAAAGTACAAAATATATATGATTTTTCTATTTGTGCATGTTTCATTTACAAAATAGAAGTAATAAAAATTATATAGTGAATTACATTTATGTTATATGCCTTAGGGAAATGTATATGTATAAGACATTACTAAGGATGTTCATTTGAACAGTATTTGTAATAGAAAAAACCTGAAAGTGATCTAAATGCTCATCAATAATTGGTCTAATGATTGTGATAAACTGTACTACTTTCCCCCCCATTTACTGCTGTTTCAGGGTTTAAACACAGGGCTTCATGCTCTTGTTCAACTTTTTTCACTTATAAATAGTGCTGCTACTTGAGTCACATGTCCAGTTCAGCTTTTTTTGCTGGTTAGTAGGAGATGGAGTTTTCTGGACTCTTCTGCACAGGCTAGCCTCAAAGCCCATTCCTTAGATCCCAGCCTCATGAGTAGCTAGGATTATAAGTGTGACCCATAAGTGCCTGCCTAAATTTGGCATTTGTATACCATAAAATACTTAGTAGCCTTTTTTTTTTTTTTTAATTTTCTTGGAGACAAGGTCAAATTCAAGGCTGGCCTCAGAGTCTCGATAGCCCTGCTATGTCCTCTTAAGTGCTTGAATAACACGTGTTGGCTATTATACCAGCTTTCATGGGTCTTTTAAAAGGAAAATTTTCAAAAATAAAATTGTATTTTAATATTATCAAAGAGAGTTATACAGAGGGGATACCATTTCATAAATCAGGTATTGAGTACAATTCTTTTTTGGATAATGTTGTCACCCTTCCTTCACTTCCCCCTATTAATTAAATTTTTGTGTAACATTAACCTTAGCTGCAAAACATTTTAAGTTGCAGAACCTTGTATACAAGGAAGAATTAAAACTCTTAGGTGTGAGTTAACTATTCATTGCTATGTCTAAAGTGCCAGAGAAAACAGCCTGGTTCAGGGAGGGGATTCATTTTGGCTCATAGTTCAAAGGATCAGTTCAAAGATACATGGCCCCATACAGTTGGACAGAACATCATGAGTTTGTGTGTGTGTGTGTGTGTGTGTGCCAGAGCAATTTATAGTCCTGCCCCCCAAACCACACCCCTAGTGAGTTATTTCCTCCAACTAGTGCCTACCTCCTACCTTTAACTCCCAGTAATACCATCATAAGTTTAATTGTTGAGTGGGTCACAGTTCTCATAATCTAGTCATTTCACCAGAGATGTGCTTCACTAATCTCCTAGGCATTTCTCAATTAAGGTTAACCATTATATGGGATATCTATAACTAATGGTTTTTAAAATAACATTTAAAATCATCCTAAGGTTTAAAATTATGTATTTACTTATGTTTCGGTTATTGTTCAGGGTTCTCGATGCCCTTCAGATGCCAATATGCTTGGAGAGATGATGTTTGGCTCAGTGGCAATGAGTTACAAAGGATCTACCTTAAAAATTCATCAGATTCGGTGAGAGGTTTTCTAATTTTTTTAAGTGAATCCATTTTTACATGTCCACTTTTTTGTTTTGTTTTGTTTTTTTGTTGTCATGGGGCTTGAACTCTGGGCCTGGGTGCTGTCTCAGCTCTTCAGCTCAAGGCGAGCACTCTACCACTTGAGCCACAGCGCCACTTCTGGTTTTCTGGTGGTTTATTGGAGATAAGAGTGCCTGCCTGGGCTGGCACTGAACTGAGATAGCAGCTAGGAATATAGGCATGAGCCACCAGCACTGGGCCATGTCCAATTTTCTTTAAGACAAGAGAATTTCATTTGATTTCTACTCCAATTGAAAATGTCAGATTCTCAATTTATATTGTCCTTTTTGTCTTGTGACTATGCTCTGGGGAATGTGTGACTTACACTTTTTTCTTAATAATAAATGAACAGATGATTGTGTTTTAATTTTGAATTCTCTTTGACAGTCTACTTGCTTGCTTGTTTGTTTTATAGTTCCCCTCCACAGCTCATGCTCAGCAAAGTGTTTACTGCACGCACTGGCAGCAGTATCTGTGGAAGTCTCAATACGTAAGTGCCTATGGACATAGGGTGAAATGGATTGCTTGAGTTGTGTAAAATGAAAAGAGTGCTGTTTAGATTGTACAACACATTCATATTTTCTTTCCTTTTTTTTTTCCTTTATAAGATGGGTTTTCACTTTGTAAATCAAGCTGGCCTCAAATAATGATCTTCCTTTCTTAGCCTTCCAGGTGCTGAGATTGTAAGCATATGCCACAATACCTGTACAAATTTAGATTGTTTTTTTAATCATCCTAGTTGAAAGCTTATGGAAGCCAGCTTGCATCCTCATTGTAGTTGGAAAAAACATAAACACAAGACTTCTGTTTTAGGAATTTGCTAGAAGGCATATCTGGAAGGAAACGGTTAAGTGCATTTCCATCTTGAGTTACTTCTTAAAATAACCATCTCAGGTTGATTTCCATCAAAGCTTATTTCCCGTCTTTCAGCTCTGTGCTGAGTTAGAATCTATAATGTCCTCTTCAGTTTTTAGGTTCCCTGAAGAATTAACTCTGCAGACAGGAATGGCCTGTATCAGCCATTATATATAATAGGTATAATATATAATAATAGCTGTGTGATATTATAAGCATGCCAAGATTAGACAATAAAACTGAAACAGAGCAGGCCTGGTGTCAAGACAATAGGTTATATACCAGAACCTAATAAATGAAGTACAAGGTTAAAGTTAAGATTAGATGATTGCAGATCTTGGAGATGCATTCTGCAGGTGTTGAAGAGAACAGGGCTCACTGGCTAGTTCGAGTTATAGGGATACCCAGGATATAAAGGAGCAGGAGGCATCAAGAACATACTGAATTCTCTTGAGCCTTGAAGAGATTCTGTTAAGTTTCCAGTACCTGTAGTTTGTTTTCACATTCAGGAAGAAAGGAAAGGAACAATATTATTTATTTATTTACTTACTTACTTACTTAATTTATTGTCGGTTGTGGGGCCTGAACTCTGCGCCTGGGCGCTGTCCCTCACCTCTTCAGCTGAAGGCCAGTGCCCTACTACTTGAAGGCCAGTGCCCTACTACAACACTATGTCCAGCTTTTTCTGCTTATGTGGTGCTATGGAATCGAACCCAGAGCCTCATGCATTCAAGGCAAGCACTCTACCACTGAGCCACCTTCCCAGCCCAATGGAATGATACTTTTAATGATTTTTTTAAATATAAGTAAACCTTAGGGTAGACATAATGGCTCTGGACTCTAATCCCAGCTGCTTGAGAAGTGAAGACCCTAGCTGAGCAATAACTAAAGCAAAAAGTGCTGCAGGCATGATTCAAGTAGTAGAGAACTGGGGCTGGGAAGGTGGCTCAGTGGTGGAGCGCTTGCCTTGCATGCATGAGGCCCTGGGTTCAATTCCTCAGCACCACATAAGCAGAAAAAAAAAGCCAGAAGTGGCACTGTGGCTCAAGTG